AAGGGTCTTGGACAATAGCTTTTTCTTTTAGAAAAATTAAAATATTTTAAAAGCTAAAATACAGTTCTCTGCTAATATAAGGCAGATATATGTTCTCAGTATTCTTATTTCAACCACCATGAAAAAGATGTTATTCAATGCTAAATCTTAACAAATTCTGTGGGGTTTTGGTTTTGTATGTGGGTTTAGAAGATAAGCAAGATCTCTTGAAAAGCCTTTTTCCACTTGATGCCAACATGTTTAGACCAGACTGACCAAGATAATTATTTTGAAAGATAATTACTGCTTTGTATGCATTCTCAGGCTATCTGCTGGTGTGATAGATCCTTGATAATACTGCAAATTTATTGACAGACTTCAGTTTTTATGTTTTCCTGTACTTCAGTGTTAAACAGCCACTTGAGTAGTTAAATTCATGTTTCTGAAAGCTGCAGCTGTAAGTTGTTCTCAGTCACACATTCTGGGTTGGCATGAAGAACAGTTGTGCTGAGGATAAATGCACAAGGTCACCGTTGGCTTACAGGAATGGCAAAGGAGCATCCTTTAGAATTTAGGACCACTGTAAACACACGTTCCACAAGCCAGCTGTGTGTGTATGAATTTGCATACCCATGTTTTCTGTGTGCTAAGTGAAGTGAGTGGTTATTTGCAAGGTTGAGACCTAATGCAGAAAGGTGATACATGCTGTAGAAATAGTGTAGATGAATGGTTTTTAGTTTTTCAATGTCGTATTCAAGCAGAAACCTTAACTCAAAACCATGTTTCAATCTGAGTGTCTAGGAGGGGATGTGAAAACCTGTGTGTTACCTATAGTTTGAGCACCTGTGCTGCACAGAGAATTTAAGTAGTGGTGATGGTGCTGTCAGAATTAATTGTTCTATATTGTTGTATGCATCTATTTGCATACCATGTAATTACATATTAATGTTTAAAATAAAGCGTATTTTCTCTTTAGGATGCCAGTGGGGTGAGGAGCTTACTCATTATTAGTGAATATTATTTCCTTCTTAGATGTCCTTTTAGCAGAACCTAGATCATTTCCTTCTACATTTTTGAGCAGAGCTGAAAGGATGGATGTGGGCTTGATGCAGGCATTGCTAGATCTGTGGGGATTTGGACCTTATTGTACTTGTGGTCAAACTAAAGAATTGCAATTGTCCTCTGGCTTTGGAATTGATGGGTGTAGTCCAGGCCCCACTGAGCCAATGGAAAGTTCTGCTGTTGACCTCAGGGGACCAGACTTTGGCATCAGATACATGAACATTGACTCGTCATCCGTATTTCTAAGGTTTGTAAGATTTTCACCTGAAGCCCCTATTATTTGTGATGATAAAAGTTTATGGGAAAGACAAGTTTTTAAATTAAGATGTGACACCCTTGTTCTTTAGTGTAGTGTCTCAGGAGAATCATTTTATTGTTTGATGATGTTATGTGTCCTTTCTTGTAACAATCTGCTATTGAAGTGGTGTGTAACTATTTGAGATTTTCTTTTGGTCATAAACCAGCAACAAATAACAGAATATTTGACTGTTCTAGAAACCTGAAATACCAAGCAACTAACTTAAGGATGCTCTTTCAATTGTATTTCTACTTACACGTTGCTAAGTATCTTGTTTTTATATAGTATTAATTTTATATATATAAAAAGTTGATTGTTGTATCATAGAGGCGTACGTACAGGGCTGTCAGCTAGGTACAGCTCATTCAACTCTGTTGTCTCTAGAAACAAAATAACAAAAACTTTGTGATCAAAGAGCTCCTGTATTTTTCTACTTTGCGTACTTGCTCAGTTCCTAGCGTGCAAAATGCTTTGGATGGCCATGATTTCATAAAAAATAAGTGCCATTTAATTCCTCTTGCTTTTTAAAATAAATCGAAGGTGGGAACCCCTCTATCCTTACTGGTATTCCTTTCTGTTGGGTTTATAGTGTACCAGCATTGTGAGACTTACTGTTTTGGTGTCTGTTATTGGCGGTTTATTTACTTGGGATTTCATTTTTACAGAAAAATGTCGTTTTGATACCTCTTGAAGCGCTTGTGAAGTGAGGTGTCTGCCATTTCTGTTCCCTGGGGAACATGACCTTTTTGGAAGTGCTTATGCAGTTTCTGCGGATGACCTCAGTCTCTCTAAATTATGAGAGGCTAAAGCCATCTACTGAATTTCCTTTGCTTATGCTGCTCTAGGTAGTCCTCTAACTTAAGGGTTATTAAACAGCCACTGAATAAGCATAGAGTGTCCCCAGAAATACTGTTCACACTCTTTACAATATTGCTACACACTAACATTTTTTTTTTTTAATGGTTCTATGAAGGGCAAATTCTAAGAAATGTAATAGTAAGTTGCATGATAAGCAGTCATTGTTAATGGCTTGGAGTGTTTAAACTATGTGTGCTGCTTTTAAAGAGAAACTCTCCAGAAAGAATGTTTAAGTGTTGGAAGAATTAGCCAGGTGAGCCTAGATATTTATAATCAATTTTAGCAAGCCTTGAATTTGGCTTTTTCTTCATTGGCAAGGAGTTTATTTTCAGTGTGAAGACTAGAATCTCTGCATTGGTAAGGTTAACATTTGGATATTCTTTGGCCAAGCACTTTTTAGATACAGCCAAGCTTAACCAAGAGTGATGTTTTCTGCAGAATCTCTGCTAAGGTAAGATAATTCGAAAAAGAAGGAAACTCGAATGGCATCAATTAAAGAGAGTTTAAAAAGAAAGAAATGCAATTAAACTGCTTGAAGAGTTTCTTAATGAGTCTGTCTTGACATTTCTCAGACAGCTTGTGACGAATTAAATGTTTTTTCTCCTTCCCTCAACACTGACTGGCAGGCATTGCGCCTAGCTTCAAGGCTTTATTTCTCTCATGTCTTGAAGTGCTTACAGTGTTCCTGATAAATATTAGCTGGCTTGACTTCTAATCATCACAGAACCATGTGTGTAGTGGGGGTCTTGAAGGCCTTAAATTCAGGTGCTTACTTGAAACATGGGAGTTGTTGCGTACATAGTGTCCCTTTCTGCTGAGTGTCTCTTTGAACAAGAAGCAGATGGACTCTGCCTGCATCCCTAGCCTGCCGTCGGAGCTGCCTTGCTAGGTAGGCACACACAACACTGACTGTGTTTGAGTAATGTTGATACTGGGGAAATGTAAACAATGACACCTGCCCTATTTAAAAAAGAAAGTTTTCTAGGGTGCACCAGAAGCTGTTTCAGAATCAAGGTCTTAGTTCTATTTGTTGACCTTGGATCCTTTTGCAACACCTAATTCAATATGCGATTTCAATTTACAGTGAAGGATCTATACAAGAGCTACTAAACTGTTTCATATGCATTCCTTTGAGCATAAGAAATACCAATATTAAAATGTTAAAACATCAGGAAATGGAGAACTGGAATTCTTCTACTTACCTTTGTAACTATGGGTAATATTGTAGCAGAGCATAAATTGGAATTTTTCATGTAGAGTTCTGTGCCAATCTAGTATAATATGTTGAGTAGAGTTGTGCTTTAAGAATTGCAATGTTTTTTTAAGTTTCAGTGTCGAAGTTCAAGAAATCAAACACAACAGATATTTGTGTTTTAAGGAGAATTGACCTCCTAACTCTGTTCTGTAGAAGTGCCAAGAGAGCTAAATCTGTCACAAGTATTAAATGTGTGTTTTCACATCAGTTTACTTAAATGAAGGGGTCTTGTCAGGCACAGCTTATCCTAGTCTACCTATGATCAGTTCCACAGCAAAGTCCTACCAGAACTACCTTGTCCTTACTGCTGCTTCACTGCTTGTGTACATTGCTCTGATTTGTGGGATCATCCATCATTCATTCAGTAAGAGGTTAACCTCTTCCAATTCTTTCTTTCCTGTTAAATTGTGAGAGTGCTTCCATCCTTCTGCACTCTTGGAATCATAAGAAATAACTGAATCTGTTAGCTCTTGTCACTTAATATATATTTTTGCTGCAAAGCTGTAGTGAAACCTGAGTTCAGGTGTGCCTCTTAGAATAATGTGATGAAGCTAGGTTGAAACTACCCCGTAATCTGGGTGAAGGGATTTTTTATAGGGAAGGCTAAGTGACAGTCCACGTTAATTCTATGTTGAAGAAAAATTGAAATGCTTCTACAGAAAAGCAGTGTTTCTTCTGTGTGCTTAACTTTCCAAGCAGATTTCACACCTGAATGGGGTTCTTGCTGTGAAGTACATAATTACATAATGTTAGGAAACTGTTTGATACAGAGTTTGCAATGCAGAAGCCAAAAGGGTACACCCCCCACCTCCACCCTCCATATATAGTGTGAGGGAAATCCTTGAAAGATGCAGAGCTTCTTTTGATGTTGCTGTGGAAGCCACATAGGTGGGTTTTTTTTGTTTTGGTTTGTTTTTTTTGTCTTTATCTTTTTTGATGGTAACTGAGATAGAGATCAGAACAGGAAAACAGAATTGAAACTAGTTCATTTAATTTTTCCTCTTGGAAACAAACTTCTAATCTCATTCAAGGAATTGCTTAGGTTCTCAAGCTAGCTGCTTACAAAAAAAGAGAAGATGACTTTATTGCAGCTTCTGCAATATCAGTACACCTTTTAGAATAGAATTCACCAAATCTCTTAGAGCGAACTGATAATTTGAGCAACAGGCAGTCGCCTGCTTACGTATGCACGTGTATAAAATACTGTTGCAAATATCCTGTAGTTAAAATCTAGCTGTATGTGAATGAAAAAATTCACACATCTGTACCTAATATATGCTAAAATCTCTTTTGTGCCTAATGAACAACTTTAGAGTCTTCTTTCTTAGTTACCTCCTAGGAAGACCTGGAAATGTTGGCCTTGTGCTGCTTTTTTCAAAGCCAACCAACTGTTTCAGTTACGACTGGGGCAAGTCTGTTTTACAAAGTAATCAAACGAATGCAAATGTATTTGAATCTTTTAATAGGCACAGAACCCAAAGATGAATAAAATGTGACCCTTGTGCTTAGTGATATTATAATGGTATCCTGTTCTAAATTAAATCCCAGGCTAACCTGTGCTTCGTGGATGTAGACAACCATTTCGTCGAGCTGCCAGAGGACTTACCCCAGTTCCCAAATAAACTTGAGTTTGTTCAGGAAATTTCAGAGATACTAATGGCTTTTGGAATTCCACCTGAGGGAAACCTTCACTGCAGTGAAAGTGCCTCCAAGATGAAGAGCCTCAGAGCATGTGACCTGGTTTCTGATAAAAGAAATGGGAACATAGCAGGATCACCTTTGAATTCCTATGAGCTGCTAAAGGAAAATGAGACCATTGCAAGACTCCAAGCACTTGTTAAAAGAACAGGTGTGAGTCTAGAAAAGGTAAGCCATGGAATTATCTGCACTCTCTCTTGACCTGCTGTAGCAAGTGGTCTGAAGTCATGGTCCAAAGACTCCGTTTGTCTGTTTTCACTAAAAAGACTTTATCTTAAATGTTCACAAGGTTTGTGAACATCTGTAGAGACAAGGGCAAGCTTAGGGGAGAGGGGAGTGGGGTTTAAGCCCACAACATGTAGGGAAACCTTTGACCATCACCCAAGTGTTTCTTTGCCAAGTTGTGTTTAAAAAATATACCTTGGCTTCTTTATTCTTGGTTTTAAGGTTTATTCTAAATTTACACCACTTTCTTATGATTTACATGGCCAAAACTGGCATCCAGATAATTCTGAAGTTGGAATCTAATCTTAGTTTCTAACAAGTATCTATCTTTCTCATTGTGTGTAGAATATGTATAATTTTGCTTGCATGTAATATGCTTTCCGTAGGGATACTGTGGTGCTTTTTTCTGGTTGATGTTGGAAAGTGCATTAGTGTCTAATTCCCAGCAAGTGAATATGCACAGCCTGTGGTGACCCTGATTGGATTTTTCTGGGTGATGAGAATTTGGAAAAAAAAAAATTGTTGCCCTTTTTGCAGAAAAGGTATTACCTGAAAGACCACTGTGGGATTTTTGAGCCTTTATGGAATGGAATGAAGGTTTTTCTCAGCAAAGGTTTTATTTCTTACATGTTTAAATTATCTTGACCAGTTCCTCATTGCTGAGTTTGATTTCTACATGTGTGACTGTAACTTGGGCAACAGGTGAGGCCAAACAGAGACAGAAATTGTGACCTACAACAGGTTGAGGAGGAGAGCCACTTTGTGGGAGGGAGCTGCAGGGGGCCTACAAGAAGAAAGGAGCGTTTTGTTACTGGACAGGATTAGATGCTCAAATCAGCTATATTCCTCTTGGGTTTTTTGTTTGTATTGTTTTCTTCTTGTTCAGGGCAAAATTGGTAAGAAGCTTTTGTTCTTTTGCTGAATGGATTGGGAAGTGATGGGAAAAGTACAGGTCTTTTTAAATTTCTTGTTAGTTTTTGCACTTCTAGGCCTTGTTCTACTCTGTGCTCTGTTCCATTGTAGTTAAAGTCCCATTTTACTAAGCCTTTTCTGTGGTGATAGGAGTGTATAGGTTATAACTCTCAACATTTTCCGAAATACTTAAATAATTTAAAAAAGCTGCATAGAACCAAATACTCAATTAATGAAGAATATATGGATGCCAAGTGCCGCTTATGGGATGCAGTTAGAAGAAATGGCTGAATAGCAGAGCTCTCTCTAGCAGAGCATGGCTGAAGAATGCTATTTACAGCAGGCCTTGGCCTGCTATAACCAAGGTGGTTTAAGAAGCATGGGACAGTTGCAGCAACTGCATCATTATGCAGATGTTGTAAGCCCTAGATATGATGTCTAATTATGGGTGGCAGTGCCTCCTACCATAATTAACAAAGGCAAGGGTAGCAAATGTGTATTCAAAACAGTGTATGAATGCTTGTGACTCTTTTTTTCCCTATAGATACTCAATTCCTATCAGAACTAGTATGAATTGAATACCTGAATCTCACTCACGTTGCTGTCTTCATAAATCTTAGCCCATGAGTTAACTGAAAATGTATTTTATTTCATTAAAGATTATGTTCGGGCTGTGTAGTGATGAATTGTGCATTACGCTGCTAAGGACTTAGGTTAAAGGAAATTGGCTACTAGACATGTTCAGCTTCTTTTTGCTGTGCGTTTCTGTCTTCATCTGAAAGCTGGTATGTATTGAATTGTAATAGTACCAAACCTGGGCTTGTATTACACCAGGCAGAACTATGTATTTGCCTAATATGCAGGGGTAGTAAAAACCCCTAAAAAAAACCTATGCAAGTGATTAAAGGGTAAAAGAAAGTAAATTAAGTGTATGGCATATGTGGGCAGGTATATGGTTGTTATCTATCCTTTTTTAATCTAATGCGTGTCCAGTGGAACCAGTGCTAAAAGCGGGTTATGGTTTATTATTGAAATCAGCACTTTTATAGACAAAGGTTTATTTCTAGATTTTTTTGATGTTGCTGTTTTATTACAGTGCTTGAAACTGTAAGCAATTTTTGGTGTGTTCCCTTACTTTTGCAGTTGGAGGTGCGAGAGGAGACCAGTAGCAAAAAGGATCTTAAAATTCAGTGTGATGAAGAAGAATTCAAGATTTACCAGCTGAACATTCAAATCCGTGAAGTATTTGCCAACCGCTTTACACAAATGTTTGCAGATTATGAAGTATTTGTCATTCAACCCAGTCAGGACAAGGAATCTTGGTTTACAAACAGGGAACAGATGCAAAACTTTGATAAAGTAAGTTCTGATAAGAAGATATGTCAATGTGAAAAGTAAAACCGTATTCAAACCTGAGACTTTGTTTATTGGGCCATAAAATGGAAAACAGTACTGTCAAAATTGTAATTTCTTCCTTAAATTTCAGTGTTCCCCAAAAAAGTAACATCTTGTACCTTATGTGGAAAAATATATACATATACACACTTAGAAAGATAAAGATACTCTTTTAAAGATACTGTAGAAAAATACAGCTTACTGTAGAAAAATAGCTTAGAAAGCCTCACTTTATGGCTAACCTCTACATTAAGGTTAAATATTACTAGTGAAAACGATATATTTTTTTTAAGCAGAGGAATTTCTGAATACGCTGATGAATAAAGCCATGACCCCACACAACATTTATGTACATGTGTACCAAATGTATCTCTAGCTCTTTTCTAGGGGAACACAAGGCCTAGTTCTTCAAATTTTACTACTGTCTTCTTTCTTGGAGATCAGGTATTTGTCAGCAGGGTAGTTCATGTGGGTGAAGATTATGTTGCAGCACCGCCTGCTAAAATGCTAATCTGATTCCCATCAAATCATATGAAAACATTCTCATCAACTTCATAAGCTTTGAGCACAGCCAGAAGTACATAATATCCACACATGTGGTACTGTTGTTGTGGATTGCTGGGATTCTGTTGAAACTTTCAGAAAATTAAGGGAATGCTAAAATCACAGTTTAATAATTATTGTGCTATATAGCAGGCAATTGTTGTGAAACTGAAGATTTCATATAGACTGCCTATTTCAGAGATAAAATTGGTGTGTGTAATAAAACTAGGCTTTAAGTGGCACCGAAACACCGTGACACATCCTTCATTAGAAAAACTAGTGCTTTTGGTGGATGTATCTCTCACTGCAGACTCCTAAACACTCTTTATCTCTTCTTGTCTGTTAGGCATCTTTCTTGTCGGACCAGCCTGAACCTTACTTGCCTTTCCTCTCGAGATTCCTGGAGACCCAAATGTTTGCATCTTTTATTGATAATAAGATTATGTGCCATGATGAAGATGATAAAGACCCTGTTTTGAGAGTATTTGATTCTAGAGTGGATAAAATTAGGCTGCTAAATGTTAGGACACCAACTCTGCGCACATCTATGTATCAAAAGTGCACAACCATTGATGAGGCTGGTAAGAGTAATAAGCCACTTTCTTGACACTTAAGAAAATACAAGTAGTCAGTGCTGTTTGTTCTAAACATTAGGTTAAAGCTATCTAATGATTCATGCTTTGAAACCTCAAAATAAATAGACCAAAAATGCTGAGATGTAAAACTTAAATGGGGAACTAAATGTTACATGGGTAGCTGAGATACGAGATGAAATTCATGTAAAGTTTAATTGAACTCAACTGTTTTCCTGCATGCTTTGTGTGAAAAATGTTTGAAGTTGGGAAGACAAACATTTTCTCCTTTTAGTGTCAGTTCTTTGATATTTAGTAATCTCTTGTATTAGTGTACCTGTTGGGATCAGTAAGAAATTTCCATGTCCTCTCTTAAATTTGAGATCCACTTTTAGTTGAGAATGTATGATTATAGATACATGTCTGACTAAGACACTTTTAAAAAGTATTAATTTTCTTACTATTTCAGAGAAATCTATTGAATTAAGGCTAGCAAAAATAGATCACACTGCAGTCCACCCACACTTACTGGACATGAAAATTGGACAAGGGAAATATGAGCTTGGATTTTTTCCGAAGCTTCAGTCTGATGTGTTATCCACTGGACCAGCAAGCAACAAGTGAGTAAGCTAGGACAACAGGTGCTGGATCTTGGCAAGATCTATAGAATGGTAGTAAACCAGAGATACTAGAAAGCAAATTCATTATCTTTTTTTTTAAAGTGAGAACAAATCAGATGATTTGATTGAGTTGTGTAGTCGTTTTTTTTGTTATGTCTCTTTTTTTAAAATTTTTTCTTTTTCTTTTTTTTTTTCTTCTTTAAATCTGGACTTCCAGAAGCAAATTGACTTAGGAGAGCCCTAATACATTTGATGGTATAGTTGATGTGCTTTGAGTTACTCATAATTTCTGTCAAAATACAAGCAGATATCCTTATTGGATCTCAGTTAAGAGCTAGCAAATATTTTAGGATATCTTCTTATAAAAACTTTGAAGGAAGAGGAAAAAGGTGTAAATTGTAACTGGATATGATAAAAGAATGGGAAAATACAAAGCAAGTGTATGTGATGTGATTTTCTGAAATCCTTTAATTGCCCAGTGTTGGGTTCTTCTACAGAGATTCTTTGTGTGTATTTGCAGCTGCATTTTGTCTGATGCAATTGATGTTAACATGTTCGATACACATACAATAAGATAGAAACTTCTTATTCTGTCCATTGCTGCTCGCCTTCATCTAACTCTCAATGTTTGCTTAATCATATTCCTCCATCTGTAGGTGGACAAAGAGAAATGCTCCTGCACAGTGGAGGCGGAAGGACAGACAGAAGCAACACACAGAGCACCTGCGTCTTGACAATGATCAGAGAGAGGTGAAAACTGTTCAGCGATAGAGCTCTGATTATTTTTTTCCCCCTAATTGCATGAATAACGCACTGTAACCTTTATGAAGTCTAGACAATTACTTGCAGTCCATCTCTGCTCTCTCCTATTTGTATTTAATACAAGTTTCCTGGTCCTTAGCAGGCCAAAAATACTTAGTTTGCTTATTCTAAAAGTTATGCTGTTTTTACCCCCTCTCAGGACAAAATTGTTTTATCCTATGTGTAGGAGAGTTCCCCGAAAACATCAACACATGCTTTAAAGTTAAAAAAAAGTCAGAGAGGGGAAGGGAGGAATTAATCTTAACAGTTTTTAGCCGTCTATTTCCTGTCTCTAATTAGTCACCCTATGCTACTTTTTTATATTTGATGGAGGAAAGATAAGCACCTCCAGAGAGTGATTAATTTAATCCTAAAATCCGAAGCATCGCCTTTTGGGGTTGCCTGTTTTTATTCTGTAGACTATAAAAGAAGTCTTAAGGTGGCATATTGACACACAGCCTCATGCTGTGGTGGGAATGTGAACCCCACGCATTCTGTCAGGTTTGTGTCTGCCTGTTTTTACACAGCCTGATGCTGATATACCCACCTTGTGCTTCTACAGCTGACACAAGTATTCTTTGTGGTGAAGGGATTTTTGAAAGGTCTGGGTCATATGAACTAATTACAGTACGGTTTCTGATTCATATGATACAGGCTGCAAACTGTTATACTGGGTGTTGATTTACGGATAATTCCAAGAATAATGTCTGGTTTAAAATATCAGAATTCATTTTTTTTGTTTAGTAACCTCAGAGCTTTACTTGGTTTAAATATGTTGTTCATTGAGGATAATATTCTCTTGCCTTGTTAAATATCTTTAGAAAAGCTTCATTTGGAATTCTAAAGTAGTCTTGTGCCTGTTAGGGTAGTGTTGTCAAAATGAAATAGCTTTGTCTGTCCAGCTCATTATTTTATGGTAGTGATAAGTTTAATTGCCTTTCCAGTGTACTAATTTGCAGAATTTTCTCATTGATTTGTTGAAGTTTTGTTGAACTATAGTGTCATCTATGTCATCCATAACCATGTAACAGAAGAATGTCTGCATAATAAAAAAAGCTATGAGTAGTTTCTGGCTTTGACATGTTCCATATCCTCAAATAACTCTGAAGTAATAAGTGAAGAATAGTTGATTTGTTACCTCATTATTTCTTTTAACAATTACGATGTTTAGCGCATGTAAACTTCTGAGATTTCAGTTAGGTAATTATAAAGGTAAAAATCTACCTCCAGTCTCTGGGTTTTTTTGTTTCTTTTGTTTTTTAACTGACTCTACGCGTGTTGATTATCCTATAGGAGTTATTCTGTCATACGAGGTAAATAATTTCTGAGGAATAAAAATTACAAATACATGCTCAGGTGAGGGTACCAACTGCCAGGTTAATCTGTGCTGGTGTTTTAAGGTTTTATGCTGTACTTTGTTAATTACACAATACTGGTTGGACGTTGACCCCCCTCTCCCAGGTGAACCAGACACTTTCCTATTAAATCTGAAAGAATGGAGAGGGAGCCCTTCTCAGATGAACACTGGGGATCAGGCTGAGCAGGAGGCAGTGGTTTCAAAGTGCAGTGTTGTGAGTTTTAGACAAATTGAAGCTTTGGGACAGCCAACAAAATTCTCTGGAATTGAGACTTAGTGGCTTTTAACTTGCAAATATTTGTACCCAGTGAAAGACAGTTTACACCAGTCCAATGACTGAACACCATCTTTTCTTTTTTCCTTTCAACTTCGTTACTTATGAATTTATTTTTATGTTGAATGCTTGGGAGTTCTGCATTGTGTTATGTCTTCACTCTTTTCCTTTTTTGTTTTGCATGTTTCCTTTTATTACTTCATATGTGCTTACCACTTTCACTTTACATGGTCTGCTTGGCTTTTTGCTGCCAACTTGTCCTACCAGCACCTGGACTTTTCCATGTCAGAGCTTCAGTTGCAGTTATGTTTAAACTGGGACCAGCATGATTGGCCCTTCATGCCCTCTATAAAATCTGTGTCAGAGCGTTATCTGGTATGTCCAATACACAATATGACTGTAATCATAGTTCTGGATAAAGATGCATAATTAAATGTATATATCGTAACTCTTTAGTGCAAGGCCGATGGGAGAAGGTGTGGTTTTCCCTCTTTGCAAAAATTATGTCATGTTTGATAAATCTGTCTATTCACTGAATTTTCAGTTGGTTGTTATTTCAGTGTAAACTAGAGAAGTTACCTGTTAATCTGAAATACGTACTAATTTTAAGTGTTCTGTCACTGCCTGTACAGGACTTTCTCTGTCACTTACTCACAGTTAGCCATGCCCCAACCAATCTGCGATCACCTGTCTTTCAAAACATTTGTCAAATTATTATTGTCTCTGAGGTGAAAACGGTGGCAACTCCTTGATGGCAGTAACAGGAGCAGAAAAGATCTTTCAAGTATAGTGAGTTTAGAAAATTATTTTACTCAAAAATGCAGCTGATTCATAGCTGAGAGCTGTTAGTAGCATTTTGCAGCTGCTTCCTGGAAGACTGGGAGAGTGGGTAGGAAATAGGAGATCTGCAGGAA